GGAGATTAAAGATAGATAGAGCGTGTAATAAATTATATTAGTAATGTACATTACTAGTGCTAGTATTATATTCGTATATATAATTATATAGTTATTGTAATATTACATTAGACTAGGATAGTAATATGGTAGGAATATACTATAATATATGCCCGTTACGTGCCGCGCGCTAAAGTGTGTGTGTGTGTGTGTGTGGTGTGTGTGGTGTGTGTGTGTGTGTGTGTGTTTGTGTTGTGTGTGTCTGTGTGTGTATGTGGTGTGTATGTGTGTGTGTGTGTTGTGTGTGTGTGTGTGTAGCGTCGCGTGCGTGCGCGCGTGCGTACGTGCGTGCGTGCGTATAGTGATGCTATCAAATACAATCCCTCTTCTATCGGATATATAGGCCGTGAACTTAGCCAGGTGCTAACGTTTGATGCCGTCATTATTCTTTCGGGTGAAGACATGACATGTACAATGACGAGATGTAAATGACGAGTGTTCAGTAGTAGTAAGAAGGGAGTTTACCTCGGCGCCAAGCAGAGCGGGGTAGTTAGGGTTAGTTTTTACACAGATTTGAACTAGAAACGGAACAATTTAGTGTTCAGAAACGTTTCCGATCAGTAATTTCGGAATTATGGGCTAATCTAGTTTTTGACCGATAACGACACATATATTGTAAGGTTAGTCTGCTGAACAGATCGGCTTACTTCAAGTAGTGACACGTGCTTTCGAGCCTCTTTCATCTTTAAAAAAAATTCCACAATTTGGCGATTGGTTGTATCCGACTGCGGTTTGTACATAGTGAGTAATCATCGTTGACAAATTGTTTTAACAAACAATTGTTGTAAATCAGGTTTACTACTATGTTTGTATTTGATCGTATATATTTTTTCAATATGAGATAATTAACTAATATTTCCATAGTTATTTTGTTTTGATAATTAGTGCAGATAAATCGCTTAGGCAACAACGGGTCATCGGCGCTCTAAAAATCCATGCAGAATGTCGACGCTACATAGACTGACTCCGTAAGTCGTTGAGAGGCAGCGTGTTGTTGGAGCTCAGCTAAAGAAACATTTGGCGCCAGTCTAGGCTAAAAGCTATACATAAATATCATTATACGAAATCTACGTTTACCAACGTCCAACGTAACCTTCCGAAAACGATACTAGCTCGGCTCAATATTCTCCGCGTCGAAACGAAAACACTTTTACACGTGACATAAAAATATTCTATAATAACCGCTACAAAGTAAACATAATCCATAATGGCAGTCACTAATACTACGTGTGTGGCCTATATCGGTTAGCTTGTGTTGCGACCGCATGCGACGGCGTGCCCACAGTAATCGTGACGCTCTCATAGGACCGGCGGAACGCTTTCTATTTTACCATCACACAACAACTCACCGAACACAATAGGAACTCGCGTTTATTGAAAGTTACACAGTAGCGGCAGTCAGTGTTGATGCTGACGATAAGATATGTCCTACATCGTCCTGTGCAGATACTATGCATCCCTTACAGACTTGCAGCGGAAATTGCGAATTGTCGCTGTCACTTGTGGGTCTACCGTACTTGTAGGCCACCGAGTCATGCGATTCTAATCAGAATGCGTCTGAAAATGGTGCTGCTTAGCGATAATAATAGTTTAATCAAGGGCGATTACACGCCTGGATGAACGGACATTGCTCCTACTTACGGCAGGTTTGCACTGTTATCCGTCTGATAACATAAGGAAGCAAGAGGATAGACAGCGCGCAGGAGAATAAAGGTTAGGAAAAAGATAATAAACCGTAATTAGCATCGTGGACCGATGATGAGATAAGCGGGGGCGTACACCTCAGAAGTATAAGAGGCGACAATATCACTCACGCACTCACTCATGCACGCACGCACCCTCGCACACGCGCACGCACGCACGCATCCGCGCGCGCACGCTCATGCACGCACGCATCCTCGCACGCACGCACGCACGCACGCACGCACGCACGCACGCGCACACACACACACATCTAATAAATATAAAGCACGCCATTTAAACTACATAAATATAGTCGATGCTATGTTTGTCTATGCCATTACCTACTTAAAAATACCCACAACCCCCAATTAGTAGCGTAATTGATTCAATGAATAACAACTAAATTGTATAATTTTGTTTGCAGGGTTTCTTCAGGACTGTTTTTCAAGTAAGAGTTATGGTAATAATCACGAGAAATACGTACCATGAAAACCCATAAAAATGGTTGTTGGGTCTGCTGGAATAAATGCTAGACCGAATGCGTTGGATTGCGCCTCTATTACTCGTTCAGCACAGCATTTCTCTATATAGGTAACGCGTTTAAGGAGCAGGTGAGTCGTCGTTATATTTAATAGTCTTCCCATTTACGAGCGGCTATTGCGTTGTTAGAAAGATGAGACCTAAATCTTAGCATCTCACGCGTTAACACCCTTATACATGCGCAGATTCGTGGTTCATTGTTCGACGTCTATGCGGTAGCATCCTGTGTACAACCCCATTGAAAACGTAATGAACTAAACTTATGTTTGATGCTAATGGCTCTATTCAATGTTAGTGCTTCATCAACTGTGATGCTTGTAATGGGCTTCGCCTAGCAAAGCTTCTCGCTTAAGTAGATAAGATGGTTAGCCATGCGCCGGCGCTCCAAATTTATTTCTCCGGCATATGTCGACTGTAGCAAATTGTAAAATGCCTTGCTCAATGACACAACAGCATGAACAAAGTTCTGAGCTCTAACCATTAGGTCACCGCTTTTCCCCTGAATAAATAATTATTAGATAAATAAATAATATTTTTACTTGTATTACTGTTAAAGCGTGTTTTTGCATGATATGGCGGAATGCTACTATATAGCTTAGTTGTAATTGCCATCGACTTCCCGGCATTACCGCATTGCAGCCAATCTTCGATTTTTGTGTCGTTCATTAGATCTACATCGTGGGTGTAAGAGACTGTAATCGCGGGTGTAAGAGACCGTAACGCTACTTTCCAGAACTGGCTGGATAGCTGTCGCGCAATGAAAGCCAACACCGCCAGATTGCTAATGCTACTACTGGCTGCTAATTTGTGCCTATCGTGAAGTACGACGCCTGCGCAATAATTTACACGCCGCATGGGCACTGTGCTCTATTTTCTAGCACACGCTGTCTAAAAATGTCCTATGCTCGTGGCCAACATGGTACGGATGGCGATTAAATGTGGCGACCTAAATGAATATTAAGTGTTTACATTAATTTATATAGTAGTGTATTAAATTTATAAGCAAATATACCTCTATAATAAATCTTATTTTCTTAACCTACTATCTAAACTTACTTATTTTTCTACCTACTTCAGGTATCAAATCAGGTATATAATTTCTCGGGTAGATATTCGCCACTAGATGGCGGTCTGTGCCAGTCCGCTATTTCGCTCCGTAATATCAGACGCTGCTTACTTATAGTAGGCCTACTTCCAGATTAATGATTGCTTGGCCTGCACCAATTGGAGTAAATCTACATAGACTCCACAGAGAGAGTCTGACGAAAAAGTGAATTCCTATAACATATGCGAATAGCTATCGTTCGGAGTACACGGAAACGTATGTAGCTTGAAAGTTGAAACAACAGATATCAATAATTTTCCACGGGTGCCAAAAACAAGCGTTTTCTTAAAAATCACAGAGACGGCGCGAAAGGATGACGCTGTGAGGTTTTAAACTTAACCCCGGTGTTTCAAGAGGAGACTAAATAACTGGCTTTACGTTTCTCGACTTGATGGCAGCTAGCACTATATATAGTCTGGCTAAAACGTTGGGACTGTAAACACGTAGGCTTTCAATTAAACCATACAACTATATTATGCAGAACACACATGCAGTGATTGCTTCATTCATTATTACATATATTGTTGAACCGATGAAAAAATATTAATTGAATCATTATTTATTTGCTCTAAGCAATCCCGCTGCTTAGAGTAAACTAGAGTACCTACATAAAGAGGTATCTATGTAGGTATCTTTATGTAGGTATCTTTATGTTGGTATCTTTATGTAAAGAGGTATCTTTATGTAGGTACTCTAGAGTAAACTAATTAAATCACACCCATTGCTAACAACAGATGGCGCTGTCAACGTGCGTGACGTCAGTGTTGCTGATGCTGGGAGCTGCGGTGAGATGCTCATCGATCCCCGCGAGTGGTTGTGCTGCTGCTATGTTGTGACTTCATGGCGGTTCTGCAGGTTTCCTCTGTAGAATGTACACACGCCAGGTCTGACTCCTGGATGTACCCACCGCGTTTATCGTGACATAACAGACGAGTACGGCACAGCGCCATGGGCGAATGCCATCGCATGAAATGTTGTCTTTGTGCAAAGGTGTCGCGATACGAGAGGATGCTGTCAACCTCTGGATGGCTCATCATATCCGCGCTACTCACTTCCGTGTCTGGCAAGGAGAGCAGATCATGTACGTAGTATTATTTCATACGCTCGCCTTAACGAACCCGCATCGTCATGTGCGTACAGTACGTGCGTATAGTCTAACATATCCTGGCTGCACATCGCATATGCTGCCAGTTCGTAGTTAATTAGTTAATTTGTAGTTCGTAATTATTAATCGTTTGACGCGATCGGACAGTAAAGCGCTTTACTGTAATTCTATAGAGACGATATACGGAGCAGTGAGACTGGAAAGAACATTTGAAAGGTGGACTCATCTTCCTGTGTAGGTTTCAAATATCAGAAATCTCGCATATAAACAGCTGCCATATGCGCGCCGTTTAATTAGGTACATTTACTGCATACATGCCATTACTATAATGGAATGGTTACGCATCTAAGCACAAAGGGCAGCTAAATACCCTGCGTTTATCAGAGTGAAAGCAATGGTGTCCATTTTCGGTTCCCCCTGCTCTCATTACGCACCTGGTGTTAGGTGATGAACGGGCACATATTAAATTGAAATAAATGCCAAACTGGCAGGGCCGGGAACGTGCGTACTTACTGCGCATGTAAGCCGCGGGCAGACATCGCGTTTAAAATTGCTAGCAGTACGTACGCTCAGAATATTGGAGATCACACCTTTGGCTGCATTACGAAACTACTCACCAAGAGCGCTTGCAGGTGCTATATATAGGTATGAACATATTTTCAGCCGAGTAGAACGTTTATCCAACTAAACCGTTATATCAAGCATGTTGCGCATGTTGCGTGATGTTTTAGCAGCCATGAATGCACTCGCATTTAGATACACTACTTAGAAAGAGCGAAGCTACCAAAAGTACAGAATATGTTCCTATGGGGAATGTATTAGGGTTAGAACAGATGTTATTGTTTGACATTGAATATTAGAATTTGCGTGCCATGAGTAGAGACATTACAAATACAAGCAAGCCTCATGCAAAACCAAATTCGCTAATAGATCGAACGTTGCTCATTCCGTATCATAATAGATCTATCGCGGCTTGATAAATTATTGGATTGCCGCTTTCCAGGTATTGATTAAAGCGCCCGCATATTACGTACTTGCTATAATACGATAGCTCCGCACGGGTTTACCAGTGAAAAGCGACTGACGACAGATGTTCTAATCCTGCTAACAACAAATTCACGGCTTATCCATGTTTTTTCATATACATATGAGTCATATATTCACTGCATTTGTTCATCGTAAACTTTATAACTATATATATATATATATGTGTGTGTGTGTGTGTGTGTGTGTGTGTGTGTGTGCGTGCGTGCGTGCGTGCGTGCGTGTGTGTGTGTGTATGTGTGGATGTGTGTGCGTGTGCATGTTTGCGCGCGCGCGCGTGTGTGATTGATTAAAGAGCTTCCATTTATCTGTGTTCGTTTAGTTTTCCTCCATGAGTTCGGCTACACTGCCTGCAGCATGGCGAAAATATATGAGATCGACGGAGCCGTCGTGCGCACGCACGTGGGCCCCGACACGCCGTATCCTAGCTACCCGACGACCTGCGACCTACAGTTCGAAACCCGGACGAACCGGAAACGGTTTATGATCCGGTTTGACTTGCTCGATATAAACGACTGCGATGACGTGCTGACCGTGTGGAACGGTTACATAGCAGCGCAAAGAGTTCTGGTACGTCTGCCTTTCTCTCTCATCTCTCTCTCTCTCTCTCTCTCTCTCTTTTTCCCTTTCTCTCAGTCAGTCCCTCTCTCTCGCGCGTGCTCTCTCTCCCTTTCTCTCGGTCTGTCCCTCTCTCGCTCTTTCTCACTCTCTCCCTCTCTGTGTCGCTCTCTCTCTCTCATTTTGTCTTAGCTTGGTCGTTCCTTTCCTCGCCGTCTCACTCCCGTAATCCTTTTCGTGTTTTTCGTTTTTCTTTCCTTATCCTCGTCCCTCTCTAATTCCTTTTCTTCGTTCTCTGATTCTGTTTTCATTGTTTGTCTTGTGTAAACCTGTCTACCTCCTTGTCTGTCCTGTCGTCCATCCGGCTGCCACGTACGTGTATGTCTACGTGTGCACGTTTATCTATGTGGGCGTATGAACGTCCTCCTTCAGTCTGTCTATATAAATGTGTATGCTTGTCCGTCGATCCGTTCGTCTGTTTATATGTGTGTATGCTCCTCCGTCCTACTGTCCGCCTGTCTGTATGTGCGATTGTCCATCCGTTTATGTTTCTTCATCAATTAGCTCGTCTTTCTCACCGCCATCTATTCCATTCTGTTTCCTAACAGACATTAGGCTATTGCTTCATTAGTCCTGCAGCACACGTCTGCTATTTATTCACCCAGTGATTCCCGAGAGATGTTATTCTACCTCGTGTATCCATTACCTGCTCTACGCATTCTACGCTCGCGTCTTCTTACTTTCCTACATGCAAGCGCGTAGCCAGGGGGGGGGGGTCCTGGGGGCCCTAGGACCCCCCAATCAAAATCAAAATCCCAAAAAAAATTCACACAGCATGGTCGGGTAAGGTGTCGTTGTAGAGCTGCAGAAGAAATAGTATTGTCAACAAAACAGCGTCTAAATTGATTTTCAAGCACTATTTTTACATTTAACTAAAAAAAACAATTTACTTGTTCGAGGACCCCCCCCCCTCCAATCCAAATTCCTGGCTACGCCCTTGCCTACATGCACGTATGCTCATGGAAAGCGGTGGGTAACTGCCGGCGACAACTTGCAGCAAAATATCTTCGATTAAATAGTAACAGGAGCGAATAATAATATTCGATCAATTCTATTATGATTCACTCCTGATAGTAACAATCGACATTTTTAGGCCACGATCAGCTGCGAGAACAAGACGTCGGATGTGCTGTATACGTCCAGCAGTCACCTGGGTCTATCGTTTACAACGAACAGCGGTGGCGCTGAAGGAAAGGGCTTCGAGGCCGTCATCACAGCCTTCGACGATGGCGTTAACGGTAAGACCCCGCGCTCGCCGTTAAGCGGAGAAAACATCATCATTAGTATCATGCACTATCGTCAGCACTATGGTCATCTCCATTGACATTGTGATTATTATCATCATCATCATCATCGACATTGGAAAACGTCGGCATTATCGTTTTCGTCATAGTCGTCGTCGTCATCGTCATCGTCATCATCACCACCATTATCATCTTAGTAATCATCTTCATCATCATCATCATCATCATTATCATCATCATCATCATCATCATCATCATTATCATCATCATCAGCATTATCATCATTATTATCGGCGGCGGCAACAGCAGCAGCGTCATAATAATCCTTATCCTTATCATTGCATTATCATATCTTGTGAATGATTCATTCTTGCACAAGAGTGCTTTACAGTTTAATATGTATCTATCATTTGTTTGGTCTTATGTTATGTAAAAGGAATTAATTATGCATTCTGATTCATATTGAATAATATCTAGAATATGCATGGTTTGCGTGATAGTACATTTTTTATGGAAAAAGACTAACTAACAAAATAAAAAGAATTTAATTACATGTCCTAATTTACGTATGAGACTTAGTTAATCTGTTTATTTAGCGCCAGCATTTAAATACAAATTCGTATTTGTTATCGAAATTTTCTTAACTCTGCGATATTTTATTTACACCACGAACAGAGTGTCACATTCGTACACTGTGGTCGCGCGACGCACAAGTCAACTTCTGTTGATCTGATTCTCCACTATCACAGCATAGGAAAACGAATTCCTTGTATTATACATTCACATCCGTTTTGCTTGCCAAACACTTACTGTAAATGGGATTACGGTAGTCATTTAATTAAAACATTTTAAATATATGCATGCTGCATGCTGCGTTCCCTGTATTATGCATACGTTAACTGAATTCAAATATCAACGCTAGCCAGCCATGAGCAAAAATTAACTCATGTTACGAACTGCTCAGTAAGGCGGGTAGTTTCGTAATTATATCAAGTGACACGAATTTAAATGTGGATGAGTAAAATCAAAGTCCGCGCCCTGAAATCGTAAATAAATCACTGGATACGCGCGAATTCGTATATATATATATATATATACGTAGGACGTCGTGATTCAAAGTCGTTACGCAAGTTGTTCTATAAACATAACATGAAAAAATGAAGCGACGACGACTTTATCGACCGACTTGTCAGCTTTCTGTGTCTACTCTCTCCTCGTGTCACGTCGTATATGCTCGAGTGCTGAAAAACAATAATGGTTACGATCGCATAAAAGCCCCTGAAACTGCATCCATATTTCAGCGCGTGTTTACGTATCGCCATCGCGTGCATATATTCATTTATGCTCATCCTCGCTAAAGCTAAATGCACTCAGCCTCTCGCCGACTATGACGTCAGTCAGTCACGGGTTAGCAAACAGAATTTGCATCGATGCGATATAACTGTGCGCCTTACATGTAAGCTGGGGGCATGCGCATTCTTCGATCGCTCGCGAAGGTAATTATGGCGTCGTTCTGTACGTCACACGCAATTTGCGACCTCTACGAAGCCATTTACTTTCCCGAGTAATTCATTTTCGTATTTGTTCCTGCTCTAATGTGCTCGTCTACCGGCAAGCGTGTACACCCGAATTATATATCGCGCTGGCGCTTCTAACACTGATTCTGCTACCCGTTTCTGCAATAGCAGCCATAGTAGTTCTCTGCAATAACAACATTAAAATTAGGAGAGTTAATGTTGTGAATCACGCCTACGGTGCATTCCAGCATGCAGATATGTACGATTCAAGACAATTATTCTTTGCGCTTAGCGCATAAATATAGGCCTACGGCGTACAAAGTCATAGGTATAAACATCCGGCTTGTATGTAAGTACTTCCCACTGAGGGGAAAATGGGGAGGGTAAATCCCAGTTTCTCAAGTAGAAAATATGCCGTTTCCCAGTTCCCGGAGAATTAAAATCTCAATTTCGGTTTTCCCCGCGACCCGATAGACTTGTATTCCCGAATGACGAAATTTTTAGCTGCATGGTATTTCGCGGATCGCACGGTCAAATTCCACGTCGCAAAAATAACAGGTTTATATATGTATAGTTGAGCATTACAGACTAGCTACAGAGTGAGCAAGGCTGGGAGATGATTGCTGGCTGTAGAATGCTGACTCGATCAGCATCATTGCATATACTCCGCGTTAGTCGTGACCCGTATATATCGTAATTAAGGGGCTGATTGTTACATCGTGTAATATATAGGTAGCGATGAAGACAGATCCAGACGTTGATTGCATTTGCTCGGTGATTTCATCAGCTGCTCAAGATTGGCGTCAGTTAGCGCTTTGCTACCATGCTCGCAGCGCCATGTTACCCTGCTCATCGTAGGCATCTACGCACGCACGCACGCACGCACGCACGCCCGCACACACTAACGCACGCACGCACGCACGCACGCACGCACGTATGCACGCACGAACGCACTAACGCACGGACGCGTGCACGCACGCCCACACACACTCACATATATATGCAAATACACATGTACGTATAACAGACGCACGCACACACGCACGTACGTACGCATTCACGCACGCACGAATGCACGCACACACACACATATGCAAATACACATGTAGGCCTACGTATAGAAGACGCACGAATGCATGCACGTACAACGTACGTATAAACACATACACGTGTACGTATAGTATACGCAGACACGCCCCTCGCATGCGCATGAATACACACACGCGCGCGCGCACGCCCGCACGCACGCACGTACACACACACACACACACACACACACACACACACACACACACACACACACACACACACACACATA